GGTGGGGGGTCAGGGGCGGCGTGGTGCCTCTGTGTGTGTGTGTGTCTGTGTGTGTGAGGATGCTTTTCATGGTCCTAAACGTTTGCTGGAATGTGACATTACCATCAGAACTGTATTAGATGTCTGGCAGTGAAGGATATAGTTTCTCCTAGCCAAGCCTCATTTGAAACTCTGTAGAATGGAGTTAGGCTGCCTGGGATTTTAAATGACATGCCTAAATGCCAGTGTGTTCTTATCTTTTGCATACGTATCTGAAACTGCCACTATTAATTTTCACACATGAAATGTGAGTGAATGGAGCTTCTTTCAGTTTGCATAAGTAGGCTCTTAAACTTCTCAGAACAATAAATAAATCTCAAGAGCCTTTCTAAAATGTGGTACCATAGTAATTCCAAAATGTGATTAACATGGTTTTGAGTCCCTGAGTAGTCCCTGGTGTTGCTTTTCCAATATCTGATTTTCTTTTCAGGCATATATCCCATTTTATGCACAATATACCTTTCCCTTCGCCACAAAGGCCAAGAATTCTTGTGCAGGTAAGCAAAATATTTGCTTCTGGTTTTAGTTACAATAATGGCAAACCCTCTTTCCTGCTTTGGAAAGCCTGGTTTCTTTCTTTAGGGTTTTTACTCAGGTTTTACTCAGGTTTGAATACCCATCCACTGGAAGGGAGAGGGGAAGAGATGGAGGGGTTGGTCTTCTCTTTCATTGGTACAAACCTGGGGTAACTTAGCAAAATAAACTGTTTTGGACTTCAGGTGATGTGGATGGCAGCAGCATCCTACTTGCACTTTTGAAATTTCTGTTCTTTCATTTTACGGGCACCATTTGCATTACCTCAGTGGGGGGGTTGTTCTCTGTCTTTCTCTCACTTGTTCATCCACTACTGCGGGTCAAAGGTTATTCCCCTGGGGCGCCATCTCCTGTAGTTATCTGTTTAATCACCTAGCAGAAGTTACATGTTCAACACTGAGTCACAGGCAATTTCGTGTAGCTTCTGAGAGTCTTTTCAGTGATGAATCTGAGCTCTGTTTACCTTGGGAATGCAAGTCCCAAAGATTGTCTCCGATTTGCATCTCTTGTATGACATTGTGACTGTGTCTGCCAGGCAGTTTAGGAGGCTGTGGATATACATTTATACTGGAATATTATCCTGTATTAATTTTGGAGTTGTCCATATCAATCACATCCTCCTTTATGTGTTTCAGCTTTCTGCCCATGATGCACTAATATTGTCTCAGCCAGTTTCTACACCGTTGCCATTAAGGTATCACTATTAATGCTTTAAATGTATGCTACTTGTAAAATTCAGAGGTAAATAGGAATGAATCGTTGAAGGAAGCCAAATATTACTGCAATACTATTACGTCTTATACGCAGAAAGCTCAATATGCATTTGTAATATTATACGGTGTTGTCTTTTTGACATAGACCTGTCCCTTGTGGAAGAATAATATCACTAATTATCCTGAAATAAAGATGAATTGCCAGATTATTGTAGGAAGTAGGAACTCTGAAGAAAGAAGAAGCAGGCTGTGAGGAAAAAAGTATATGTATTTAAATATCTTCTATTTTCAGATCCTGTGTAGTAAGCACATTTTTTAATAGCATAGGTAAGACTGTTTTCTTGGTTTTTTCCCTTTTCAGATCCAAGTGGGACATTTACATGAAGGAGTTATGTGAAATCAGTCAATGCACAAGTGTGCAAACATTTTGGAAATATAAAATTATATGTAAAAGTTGGTATTTGTGCTTGAAGATTAAGGCAGTGTGTGTGGATACTGCCTGTATCTTCTAGGCTGGAGCTCCTTACAATTGTGACATGGGTTTTTGTGTGAATGGCTTTGTTGATATTTGTTAAAAGTTAAAACCCAAAATATTCTCCCTTCTATACCCCCCACCCCTCCTTGAACTTTGTCATATGATATTATACATGCAGAAGAATCCCATATTTAATCACATCTGTTACACAGCCTCTTAAGTAAAAAATTGCAGCCAGACACCAAACTGCAAAGTAACATGTAAGTGCCTTTCTAAGGACAGATTCTACACGCCTGTGCTCTTACAGATGTCATTACAATTCTTAAATGTTTACAGTCCAAATAAATGAAATGGCATCTAAACTGTAGAAACTAAAGACATGTTGCTATCAGAATGATGGATTGATGTTACTTGTCTGGTATTTGAATTTGATACTCTGATTCTAAGATCAAATAGATACTCTAGTCTGTGGTTTTTGCCTGAGGTAGCCCATCATATGAAAGTACTGATGTTATTTGCGCTTGGATTAGTTGTTAGCCAGTTAGATCTGTTTTACTGTTACAAAGGCAAGATGCCTGTGCATATAGGAGAGAGAGCACCATAAAAACCACAAACTCAGCAATAGCATGGTATAGCATATTTTTCTTTGATAATATTAATTTAGGTTTCTTTGTGGCAGTACAAGTCTTATATTGATGTGATAGCTGTTAGGTAGGTGTTTGATATTTGATGCATGGTAATATTAGCACCATTCAACTGGGTGGTCTCAAGCAGTTGGCAGAAGTTTGATAGTAGCGACTTTTTTTTTCTTTTTTTTTTTCTTTTTTTTAAATCCAGTAACGTTCTTATTCTCTTCCCCCTTCCCACCTGTCCCTTAGTGGAGCAAACTTTAGCACTCTACTCATGAATCTTGGACCGGAAAACTGTGCCACTCTGTTACTCTTTGTATTACTAGAGGGCAAGATCCTCCTCCATTCTCTCAGACCAGCTGTGTTGACGGGAGTTGCTGAAGCTGTAGTAGCTGTAAGTACAAAGTGTTCTGCACAGCAGTGAGAGAAATCAGTTCAAACTCCACACTTGTTACAAAGCTTTTTCAAGTTAAAATGATTGAGACACTAAATGATCATTTTTCACAGCAATAGCCTGTAGTTAATGTGTCCTTGTATGTCTTATAACTATTAGAATGATTAACATTTTTGCGTAGATAACTAAGAGATGTGCTATAAATGAGTGGTCAAACTTGAAGACTTTTCTGACGGTGTTACAAGGCATTAGCAGTTTCATTTCAACTTACTGCAAACTTCTTGTTTTTTATTGTACAGTATGTGTTGTCTTGTTTTAATGCATTAATTTAATTTAATTTTTCCTTCAGATGATATTTCCATTTCAGTGGCAATGTCCATATATCCCCCTCTGTCCTTTGTCTCTGGCCACTGTTCTCAGTGCACCTGTTCCATTTATTGTTGGAGTTGATTCACGATACTTTGATCTGTACGATCCACCACAGGATATTGTGTGCATTGACTTAGACACAAACATGGTGTACATGTAAGTTCTATGGAGTTTTTACATTTATCTGTATTGCTGAATTGCTCAGGAAATAAAACTATTAAACACGGTTTTATCCAATATGGTCTGTTTCTTACTGTCCTCTGTTATTTCTCATTTCTAATGCAAATTAAAACTTGCTGGGCCAAGAGTCAATATTTGGCGCTGCCTGTAAAAATTTAATAACAATGGTAATGGGTTCTGGTTTGTTTTTCCACTTCTAGTACTGCTTATTAGGGAAATGGGACAAAAGGTAGAAAAGGAGTTGTTTTTTTCTTCCACACCATTTCTTACATTTTCACCTTGACCTACAACTTTTGAATTTGTTTTGCCTGTGTTCTGCTCGTGACTACTGATACGAACATGAGTGCTTCAGAACTCTTCATGACAGCTTTTGATGCTGTCTTGCACTTGGGGCACTTAATATTAATAAAGAATTTTTTCTCATGTTACAAGGGCCAAATTTTTTGTGAGAACAAACAAGCAAAATTTGGTATTACATTCAATCTAAAATATTTTCACTTAATTGTTGTGGTTATAATGCTTTTCTTAAATTGAAGGTGTGGCATAAACAGTTTCTTTATACCTTCTTGAGGACAAGCTAATTCAGAGCAACTTTTGTTTTTCTGTAATATATCTAAATAAGAGTACAAATAACTGAATTGAAAATTCAGTTGTTTCAGGTGTTTAATTTAGCAATGTTGTGAATTACCTTTCCATTTGAAATTATTAGATCATAAATAGAGGTATCTAAGGTAGTTCAAGATGAGAGTGAACATCACTAAATAAAGTGCACATCTTTTCTTTGTGAAAACATAATTTTACTTGATCTCATGTCACTTTTTAACGCTTGACTTTTGTTTTTACTAACTTGAGTTAGAACTAGTCATTTGATCTATGGGTCAGTTGAATGCTTGCTTGATTTTTCGTTCTGTCAAAAGGACCCTTCCTCTCTTGAAGCAAATGGGTTGCAGAAAAAATTAAGGAGATAGAACCAAGGGATTTAACAGGAAGATAAAGATGTCAAGATGCTGTTGGGGTGATTGCTAGAAGGACCAAGTGCCAACATTGCTTGGATTGGTTACTGAACTAAAAAATCTACCAGTGGCTGACTTCTTATGAGGCACTCAACTGGAAAGATTTTTGTACCTTTTCTTTTACTGTCTTATAAGTCCCATTTTTCTTTCAACAGTCAACTGATCTTTTTCTTTTTTTTTTTTTTTTTGTTGCCCATTTTGCATGTATCTCATCTGTACTACTTGTTTGACTTCTAGAGGAATTTGATATCTGTAACATGTGACTTAGGTAAATGTGAGATGTTGGTACCTGCATTATAAAGCTCTTTTTAACCTGGAAATGAGGAGATTTTTCAGTTTTGGAGATGTGTATCCGAAATGTTCCATTTAATTTTTTCCACATCTGTTTCTGTCCCTCTTTGTTTCTGTAGCAATGCTGCTTTTTCTGTTGTGGGGTTTGTTTTTGTTTTTGGTTTTTTTTTTTTTTGGGTGCAAAAGCATTTAACAGTACTGTTGCTAACTTTGAAAGACTGCATAATAGAAGAATAACATTTGAAAAATTCAATATTTTCTAGTACATCAGTCTGTCTGTCTCATGTCTTTTTAGAGCAAGTTTGCTGCTGTCTTCCTTATGATAGACTGCAGCTTTATTTACTGCCAAAAAAACACTGAAGGTTTTTTATTCATTCAGCATCTTCCTTAATGCCTTTTTTGGGATGTTTTCAGCTATCTCATTGAAAATAACACTGCAATCTGGTTAAGGACAGTAGCCTTTTTAGGGCAAAGATTTGAGAGTTTGTTTTATTTTTATAGCAAGGTTTTTTCCTTGCATTTTTGGAACACTACCACTTACGTTGTTTATAGGCATACCATTATGGTGGGGAAAAAAATGGGGAAAGGCATCCCTAAGTCTGCATTTTTTCTTTAACTCCTGAAACTTTGGCTTCTTTCCTAAGATAGTTTTGTGTTGGTGTTAGTTGAGTAAATAATGATTGAACAAACATTTCACTGATGCAAAGTGCAAAACAAGCAGTGACAGCATCAGCTTGGATAGTAATAATTTACTAGGTCTTGTGGCCACAAGGTTCGCTGTACTCCCTGTTACAGCATTTCTCCCCCACCTTCTGCCTTCCAGAAAGAGGCATAGAAGTTGTCGGGATTTACACCCTACTCTCTCTCTCTTTATATCCAGCTGCTTAAACAAGGTCTGGCATTGTACCCATTGTCCTTCTAACAAAGAGGAGCATCCCATTTGACCAATTTACTCTGTTGCTCAATCAACCACGTAGTTTTCAAACTGTGAACTGAATTCCCAATCTTCCTAGTTCCTACTAGCCTGTGGTTGAAGCTGGAACTGAGTTGCCATAGACATATTGCAGTGTACCATATGACCATAAAGTTACCAGACTGGTCTTCCAACATTTTGCAGTAGCAAGCTTGTGTTGTATTCCAAACTGCCTTTATTTGTATCAGTAGCAGTTAAACAGGTTTATGGTGGTACAGCTTTGCACAGTAATCACACACAGATCGGTATGCTTAGATTATATTAGCAAGACTGATAAAAATTCTGAAAGGGAAATCAGCTAAGTTGAAACTAAAAAGTCTAAATCAAATCTTAATGCAGATCCTCCTTACAGACTGGAGAAAACTCTACTCATGACTCAGTTTATACTCTTCTTTGTCTGAGGAAATGAAGTTCTGAGTTATGTCACTCATTTTTTAAATTTTTGACAAATAGTGACAGTGTCAAGATTTCTTCTCAAAATAATTTCTTATTTTTTAGTTACTCGGTTCCGAGTATGAAGCAGCTTAGGCTTGTGGAAGCTGTTATTTTCTTTATGGTCTGTATTTTATACATCCTTTTTCCCCTCCTCTGTGTTTTAGATCAGATGATAAGAAGAGCACCAACTGGAAGCAGTTTCCTAAGAAGCCATGTAAAAGTCTGCTCAGCACCTTAAAGAAACTGCACCCACAGCTGGCAGCAGGTGAAATATGTAAAATAAAATGGGAAGGGATAAGAACAGAAACTGCCTAAAGCAGGGAAATTAAATATTCAAAGAAAACTACTCAATTTTCTGATACACACCTAAAAGTGTTAAATTATGATTAATATATAAATGTAAGGACTTTCTTCTGTCATATGTGGTGTGAATTATTTTTTTAGACTTGTATTTTCTTTACTGTGACTTCTTAAAATTTGACCTTTTTTTGAGCCTTTTCTCATGATTAGATTATATTTAAACAAAAAATCCAGCTAAAACATGTTTGAGTCCTGACCTAAAACAATATTCACAGTTCTGATCAAAAACAGTAGAGGCAATGGGGATATGAGTAAAATAATGTTGGATATCTTAGTTATTGTGCAGATACTGCTGAATATCTCAGATAATGCCATTTCTACAAAAATAATGCAGTAGCTAAATTTTGGCACAGTGTTTTGTCAAAAGAGAAAGAAAAACTGACCATCTTCAGCCTAATGACTTGGACAGGTAAGAGCAAAGTTGTAACTGACCTAACAATTTTCAGGTATTGCTTCTTTCTGGCTGTAGATAGGCTCTTTGAGGCAAGGAGGTTCAGAGTATGTTATATTGCATCATTATGGAGAAGGCAACAATTATAGCCTCATAGGTGTACAAGATATACAAAGTTTGTAAATTATAGAAACAGAAAAGTGCATTAATTAAGAGGTAGGTGTTCTTGCCTCAATTTTATATAATTTTTTTTTTGCAGATAGCCTTTATGTCATCTGTTAGAAGACCTCAGCTTTTATTTTTTTGTTTTATCAGCAGGATATGTCATGCAATCTACCTAATATAGAACTACTTCCTAATTTTAACTTTAGCAGAACTAGTGGTCTAAGATAGTTTCTCTATTGTGGTAATATTATAGTAGATATGTTATATATATGTTATAATATTTGCTTATATTTTTACATAAGTATTTATATTGTAAATGGTATTTTTCTTATAATAAAAAGTGTGGAACTATAATTTTCAGCAGAGCCTGCTGTGGGTTTTTTTAAGAGTGCAAGAGTAAACTCTGAATGTCATCTTATTTGTTTCTATTCTTTGGTGCAATAAAATGCTAGAATTTTGATGAGAATAGTTTTAGCCCTTTCTTTTTAGATTTGGAATTTTCAGAACAGAGGAAACATGGTCCTTTGTGTTTATGTATTACTGAAAGACTACATTCAGTTGGGTATGTGGTAACACTAATTGAATTGAGATCCTCCTTGTTTTTTCGTGTTCCAGAGGGCTGTATGAGTTAGAAAAACACTCTTGAGGTAATCTGGCCTTTATATGGGCCACATTGGTTGGAAAATATTCACAGTGTTTGTAGTCTTTGTCACTTCCAAATATGGGCAAGTGGAAAAAAGAGGAATTCGTCTTCAGTGTCTTGCAAAAGTTACCTGTTTGAATGTACTGAATTTTAATATAGGATTGCATGTGTTGCTCATTGCTAGTGCACAGGAAAACTCAAGAAGGCTCTGCAGTGGAGATGACACCTATTGAAGCAGATTTCTCCTGGCAGAAGAAGATGATAGAACTCGAGATGGAGATCCAGGAAGCTTTTCTCCGTTTCATGGCATCTATTTTAAAGGGTTACAGAACATTCCTCAAGCCAATCACGCAGGCGCCTTCAAATAAAGCAACTGCTGCTGATTCCTTGTTTGATCATCAAGGTAAGGGTGAGGCAAGACAGCTGCTGATAACATTGGCATTGTTAAAACTTTAGGGTTGAGGAGCTGCTTAACTTTAAAAGGTCAAAGTTCCCTTTGGTTGTACAATTCTTGGCAATATTTAAAATTTCAGTTGTGATTAGAACATGGATATATGCACATAGAAGTGTAATTTTGCAATAGCTCTGGTATTAGAAAAACTGTCTTTTGGTAGCTTGATGCCCTCTCTGCATGGCATATTCCATAAGGGCAGCTCTTGGGAAAGAAAGACTATTTCTCAATTTGTACAGAGCAAAAATGACAGAAGCCCCATAATGAAAAGCAAAGTAATATTCTTGATATAAATGGGAAGATAATAGAGTGTGGAACAGAGTTCAGAAACTTAACAAAACAATAGTCAGTAAAGGTCATCTTATTTTCCTCATCACCTTAACTTTTCAGATCTGTTCGTGAGTTGAATGCTAGATAAAATGTCACAGGTTTTTTGTTTCGTTTGTGGTGGTGGTATTTTCAGGGGTATTTTTGTTTGTTTGGTGGGGTTTTTTTTTTTTTTTTAATTACGGGAAGAGAGATTTGAGAAGAGTTTTTTAGTCAAAGGTCTGGAAAGTCTTAAATACTTTCAGGCCCATCACCTCTTAGTTATCTCTTATGTTAAAAATTAACATAGTTTTTATTTTAGTATTGTTTTGATTGTTAGATACTTCTGCTTCTGTGAGAGATCATCATGTCCTTTTTCTTGCACAAAATGTCAAGAGACATAGTGAGCAGATTATCTTGGGGTGAATTCTTGCCAAGTATTGTTAACTATGGTGAAGAATAATGATTTTTAAAAGTGCTATTATTTTAATCTTCCAAATGGAGGTAGTGATAAGTAGTTGTTTTTATTGATAAAGTCAATACTTTATTAGGATTTTAAATATTTTGACACTTTATATGTTAATTTCTTATGGAACTCATAACTGATGTTTAGTTTGTGTTCCTTTTTATAACCAGGATTTTTAAAAAGCAGAGACCGTGCCTATACAAAGTTCTACACACATCTCACGAAAACACAGATATTCAGCCGCTTTATTGAAGAGTGCAGTTTTGTGAGTGACAAGGATACTGGCTTGGCATTTTTTGATGACTGCATAGAAAAGGTGAAAAATATGTAGCAATACTATTAAATTATATGCTCCTGTTGGTTTAGTGTTATTGTCCTGGTTTTAGGTTGTAAAGGTAGATATTCTCCGCAGCAAGTGTTCTGAGGGATTGGAATTCTTGGTGGTTATTGCTGAATCATTTTCTTCCTTCATCTTCTTTATGGTAATCATTTTCTTTGTTGATGCAGGAGACTTTCATTAAAGCCCTGTAGGATGTCAAGCTGTAAGATAATGTGAGAAGTACCAGTAGCTGACACTTCAGCACAATGCCATCTGTGTCTTCCCTTTCAATGCCAATCACCCTTCCTCTAATGTGGAATTATCTACCAGTGGTCATTTGTATTGTTGCTCTTTTTCGCATAATTTAAACTTAAAACACAAAAACATGCCTAGTGTTCCACATGTGGTCAAAACTGATTTATGTAGATAAGATCTTCTTTAGTTGCCTTCATTTTGTATGAGAAATTTTGCTGTAACCTGTTCTTGTATTTTGAAACAAGCCTCTTCAGCGTGGTTCTGGTCTAGATGGGTTAATGCATTTATAGCTTCATCTGTAAAATGGCAAGTTCAAAATATGAAAGTTAGAAGCTAGAGAATTATATGTGGTCTTTTGAGTTGTATATATATATGATCCTTTCTGGATAGAGCCTTCATTTTCATACTTAGTTCTTACAGGATGAATCTCTGGTTCAATATTGGTTTCAATCAAACCGACACTTGTTAACAGACCACAAAATAAGTGTTTAAAAGTTTCTTCGCCTTTGTTTTTCTTTCTGCTGAGTATGGGGCATGCATCTAGAGTATGCATCTAGAATATACTTTGTTTAATATTGTTAATAATTTGATAGACTTAGGACTTAGTAGAGACGTGAACAGATTGAAAGCATGCTGATGACTGCATTTTCTTACTTTCAGCAAAGGAAGTTTGAAAAAGATTAATTGCTTCTCCAGTAATATGAAAATTTAGCATTTAATATTTCAGTAAATGACACAGCTTTAATGGAATTATTTAGGATTTTTTTTGTTTGAGTTGAGAAGAAACTCTTAATTTTTTTTTTCTTTTCCCAGCTCTTTCCAGATAAAGGAACAGAAAAAGGAGAGAAGGTACGTTGTCCTTCAAAATGTTTAGGGATATCTGATCATGAAATAAAAATGGAAAGACAAGTCTGTGGACTTGATGTTTGAGTAATTAGAACAAATTGAATGTATTTTATATATTATA